GGATGTTCCTAGCGGCGCTCAGCCCATAGGAGGTTTAACTGCACGGCCTGGATTTGTGGGGCACTGCTGCATTTTAACCCTGTCGGATCGCTGCTGCTGTCCAGAACTGGCCAAGACAGATTTTAGTCCCTGGCCGGATTGCATTTTCCTGTCCGACCATGGGGCACAGCAGGACGCCCATGTTTTCGGGGGGCAGCCTCTTCCCTGGGAGCAGCAGCGGACCCTCGCCCGCCCCTTCCCACGGCGAGTCCCCTTCCCCAGGCTCCGTCTGCCCATGGCTACAGCGATCGCTGCTGCTGTCCAGAACTGGCCAAGACAGATTTTAGTCCCTGGCCGGATTGCATTTTCCTGTCCGACCATGGGGCACAGCAGGACGCCCATGTTTTCGGGGGGCAGCCTCTTCCCTGGGAGCAGCAGCGGACCCTCGCCCGCCCCTTCCCACGGCGAGTCCCCTTCCCCAGGCTCCGTCTGCCCATGGCTACAGCCAATGACCATTCACACAGCAGCTCCACCAGCAGAGAGGGCAGAAATTCACAGTCAGGAAAACTTTATGTTGCCAAACAACCCTCCCGCAGATAAATGGCTTTGGAGAACACCCTCAGCAGGCTCTGCCTATGGAAACCCCTCCTCCTGCTGCGGGAGCTGCCGCTCATTCTGCCGGGCAGGGGCGAGAACCAAATCCTCCCCAACATCATCCCAGACCAAGAGACTGAGGTACTGAGAGAACTCATGCTTTAATAGACACTGAAATCACAAAGAGAGAAGGCCAAATGCCTTAGCAGTTTCAATAAAAATATGAAAATCTTTTTACATGGTAAATTTCATAATATAAAAAGTTTAATGCTGTCTGGAAACAGTTTTAATTTACAAAGAAAGTCCATATAGGCCGAACATGGCTAACACTGCATACAAGGAGAGCAAGTGCTAAAGGGCTGCTGCTTGGAAGAGTCTTTGCTTGACAGTCCTCTCTGAGTTACCATCTTCAACATTCTTTTGAAGGAGTTCTGAAACCAAGGGGCCAAGTTTTCCACAGATATTTGCAGCGTTTCTGGGCAGCGCAGCAATGAACCTGAAACTGCTCAAACCCATGACTACCGTCTAGCCTGGAACTACCAAAGTTTCTCAACAGATTCACAGATATTTCTGTGCACCTGGATCTGTTCTGCAACTTGAAAAAAAGGTTCACAGCATGAGTTTGACCTAATGAAAGGAAATGTGGCTGTAAGTGATTCATGTGGATGTAGCACCCCTTCAATGCTTTTTCCTTGTTTAAGTAAGGTATGATTAAAAGAAGGAAAATCAGTACCAGGCCAGAGTTCAGGCTTAGCAACAAAATCAAATCAAACTGGATTTTGATCAGAGAGACTGTTTACTGTTCCCACTTAGTTGGAGCTAAAGACAGTCAATAAAAAAATCTGTGATCCCACACAGTAACACATACTGGGCAAAACCAAACTGAAATGAATTCTATGGCCTTGGGGAATGGTTGCACGTGGCAGGTTTTACGTGAGAAGTGGATAACACCTAACTCTTATTGCTCACTGTATTTAGCAGTGTTGTCACCTGTACCATGCACAAATACAACAACGACAAATGCATTTAAACTCCACAGAAGGAATTCTACTATCAAATGGAGAACACGTTATTTTCATTTTCCTGAATTTCTCCACATAACGGGCAAACCTGGTGAAACTCCCTTTTCCTCCCACAGGGGTGGTTCCTCCTCCGGAGGGTGCGCCGTGGCTCCCGGCCATGGGTAAGCATGCATCCTCATGGCTCTCCTCAGCCAGCTCAAGTGCCCTGTGCCAAGTCAATGGAAACAAACACACTTCCCAAAGGACTTGTTCTAGTGACGCTCACCTTCCATATTTATACAACACCAATTTCCCAGATACTGAACTCCCCCTACATCTGAACCCTTCCCTGTTTCTAATCCTCCTCCCCCCTTAAAAAAAGCAACAGAAGAACCACCCTCACCCACCCCCTTCCCCCACGCCCCACTTAGCTCTTTCTGGTAACTTTAAGCCAGTGTGAAACCTACTGGCAGCATGAAAATGGGTTGTACCAAAGTGGCAGTATATAATTTCTACAGATAAAAAGATCCTTTAGTTATGGAAGTAAACTACCAAGTAAAGAGGCTTATTTCTGGCATGTTATGCTGCACTACAGGGAGTATTTGCTGTTGCTATAAACAAAAAGCTGCCCCACTTCCATCCTGGATGTTCCTGGGATGTCGTTTTAAAAGGTATGCTGGTTAGAAACAGTCAGTCACGTGAAGTCTCTCAGCAGTCTTGTGGCCAGAGCAAACTGCACCATCAGCAGCATCCCCGTCCACGCAGCGGGCAGACACTGCACTGATTCCTTTTGGCCCACTATTCTTATTTTTCCTGCCAAATGACAAAAAGATGATGCCTAGCACCAAATCATCGTAGAAAGATGTAACGTACAGACAAATAACTTGCACCCTATGACCTGGATGGATTTACTCCACTGTTTTGCTACACTGCATAACACAAGTAGATGAAGAACTACTCTTTTTGGTTTTTTCTGCACTGAAACTTTTGGGCTCATCCATCCCTTGTTAGCTGACTGTAACAACACAGTCCTGTATTCTGTGCCCTTAGTGCTCGTGTTAATTTCTTGCGATGGCGAAAAGGAAAACACTCTCCCAAACCCAGCTGATTCTAGAATATGCTCAAGCAAGCATTTGATGTTTGCACCATAAGTAAGCTGTGCCCAAGTAAATTTAAATTCTGGTGTCAGAACTGAATCCTGTCCTGCTATCATGCTTTTCCTCCAAGATCCCTAAGAAAATCACAAACAATTAGATCCGTATTTTCAAGAAGAACATCCAGACATGACAAGTGCAACAATTATCTGCATCAGCAAGGTGCCCCTAGCTCATTTACAGAGCTGACTGCACTCACCGTTCAGGTAGTCAGTTGCAAGACTGGAAGTTGACTTAAGATACAGCTAAAACTCAGGGCCTAATTAATTAAGCCTCACAACACCTCTGTGAGGTAGGTAGGTAAGGATTACTATCCCCATTTAGATAGAAAGGGAAGACGAGGCACGGAGAGGTGAAGTGAGCAGCCTTCGGTCACTCAGCAAATTTCGGGAGTGCAGAATAGAAACCAAAAGCTGTGGTGATCCAGTGCTCCGACTCCATAGCACAGGGAAATACTGTGAAATACTCTGCTCGGGCCCCAGCGTGCCGCGTGGCCAAGTTAATGCCACCACGTGCCCACAGTTTTCAGTGCATGGCTACTGTCACTTTGATCCCGATTACGTCACCGCGTTCAATAGCCACTTGAAAGAAACAATGTCCAGCCTGACCCGTGACTCCTGAACACCTCCGAGCCCAGGAACACTGGCTTCACACAGCACCCCGGGGGTGCTCGGGGCTCTCTCCTCTCCTCTCCCCGGATGGGAAGGGGGGCAGGTTCTGCACGCAGCCACTCTGCTGCCTGCACAGACACCCGCTCGCACCGGCAGACTGGCTACGAAAGAAACTTCCTTCCACAGCAGGAAAGGGCTTGCAGAGCTGACTGGGACGAGCACGGGGGTGACTTGGCAGGATCAGTGAAGGACTCATTTGGTCAGGTGATTTCTAAAATCACATACCCTGGTATCATATTCCTGCCTACTGTGGAACTGTAAAATAACGTTCTGAGCTTCAGTGTCCGTGCCCCTCTTCTGTGCACACGTAGCAGGCAGAAGACATCTGTGCTGTCCAGATGCTTGCCAGGTGTTTGGCAGGTCCCACCCGTGCAGCACTGAGCGCCCGGCAGGTCCCAGGTTCGGCAGACGCAGAGCTCGGGCACGCGCTGTCTCCTGCTGAGGCTCATCCTGCTCCTTATGCTCCAAACGCCTCTTTTGAGCAGACCAACCAGCAAAATAGCACCTGAAAGGTTTCCCTCCAAAAAAAGAGTTACCCAAGATACAAGTTTTAGAACGGGGCACCTCTGTTCTCCTGTCCTTCTTTCACCAGCCTCTGCAGGACGCAGACCTGCCGGCAGTGCTGCCGTGGAGCTCCGCTGCCAGCAGGACCCCGTGCTGGGCCAGCCTGGCAGAGGGATCTCGTGCTGCCCTACCTCAGCCTCTCTGTCAGCCTTTGGGAGCAATCAGGTAAATGGCTTGTACTTCTCCAGGCAGGAACTTGTGCATACTTTCTTTGTGGTATACATGAAAATTCTGCTTCCTCTCCCTCCCCTCTCCAATCCCTGATATGTAAAATTTCAGTATAAAAAGCTAGCTGTAAAACCTCCTGTTAAGAAATACAAGTAGGTGGTTTAAAACCTGTTATTTTATGAACAGACAACTAGATTCAGTAGACCTGTTGCTGCAAATACTGAACACTACAGAGAATCTGTTATCAAGTGAGTCTGGCCAAGGTCCTGATAAGGGAAACTCAGACCCATACGTGTAAGGCCTGTGCTCCTGTGCAGCGACAGCCGGGGGAATCCATCGCGTTCCTGTGCATTGCCTGCTGGGGGTACGACCACAGCTTCTTAGGTAATTGTTCTGCATTGATAAAGGCAGGTGGGCAGAAGCAAATACTTTAACAAGATTGCAAGTCATCAGCTGGTACCCGAGACATTTCAACATTTGGAGGAAGGAAAAAATCTTCCTGGTGACAGAAATTTATAACCGTTCCCAGACGACAGCCTCAAGGGGCGTGCTGTTCCTGGAGTGCTACTGGAAGGTGGAGAGTGAGTTGATGCCACTGCATTAGTAGTATCAGGGAGCCTGTGTCCATTTGGAGGATTCTTTTGTGGAGAAGTAAGATGTTGCTCAATAGACAGGTCCTTTAGTTCCAGCTTATCTGCACTTTCTTCTTTGCCGTGCCTTGGAGATAAATTGAGCAAGCTGAGGACATCTTTTTTTGAAGTCATTGTTCCAGGAGCTCCTCGGAGAATCTTTATCGGGCCCGTGGAGTGATGGGGAGTGCTTTGCCAGAACATCTTTAAGTTGTGAATTGCTTGCACTTTTTCATCAATGGCAGCCATTTTTAATTTGTCTATGTCTGGGGCATCAGCTGGACTTGAGCGAGCAGAACCAGCTGAGGAGTAAGACAGAGCAGGAGATGGAGTGCTGCCACCAGGAGACTGATGCCCTGAGCTTGGAGAGATATTTCTGGGCGATTTAGAAATGTGAGCACTGTAGGGAGAGCTGGGGTACTTGAGTTTAAAGTGAGTCTGCTCAGTTAAGGACCCGTGCGAATCAGAACTGGGGGATGGCTGCCCACTGTATTGGCCTGTGCCTTCTTTGTTTGACGTCTCCGACATCGTAGGGCTGTTATAGCCAGAACTCACTTTCTGAAGGGATGAACTCCTTGTTGGAGGCTTTGGTTTCACTGCGAGAGGTGAAGACTGATTCTTCTGACTGGAGCTGACTGGCCGACTGAACGCGCTGGTCTCCGAGGATCGGAACGCAGAGACGCCTGCAGGGGTGGGAGCCCCATCATCTGAGTTGTTGCTCTTGTTTATTTGGCTGCCACTTCTCTGAAGTCGTTCAACAGCAATGAGGTGACTCTGAGTTTCCTCCAGAATTTTTTGGGCCAACTCTTGTGGATCAAGCTTTGGATTACCATCCTCCTGGGATTTGACAGTGCTGTCAGTCTCTGTGCTAGACTGGTCAGACTCCCCAGTATCAGAACTTGCAAGTTTCCCAACTTTTTGGAAAGGTGAATTTGGACTAGGGATAAGAGTCATTTTAACAGGAGAATTTGGGGTACTTATGCTCCCTTTGGAGTTGACACACTCTTTAATGCCTCCGGCCTGACCAGTTTTGGGCTGTTTGTGATCAGGGGAAAATCTTGGTTTTATGTTTTCTTGGTAACTGCCCAAAGGCTCATTGCTGATTATAGAAAAACCTTCATACTCCTCCTCATCTTTGCTGGCTACAGTGCTAGTCTGTGGTGACAACTGGCTCTGTACTGCAGACCTGTGTGAACAGGTCTTGGGCCTCTCATAGTCCTGCCGTCCTCTGTGTCCCACAGCATCTGGGACGCTCTCCGGCTTGGAAACAAAGCTCATGGAAGAGGCAATGGAGCTCAGGCTATACACAGAGATGGCATCTGAGGCAATGCTGTCTGGGCAAGTAGGAGAGAATGGAGGGTTCTGATACTGGGGTACAGGGTTGGAAACAGACTGAGCAGAAGCCAGTGACTCGAGTGATGAGGAACTGTCCAGGCTAAGGCGCTTAGGCAGCTCTGTAGAATCTAAAAAAAAAAGGAAAAATAATATGTACAAACATGCCCCTAGACACACAGCAAAATCAAACAAAACCAGGTAATGTTCTATCAGAATTAAGAGGAAACACCACAAAACATGCATTTGGACTGTAGGATACTTCAGAAAACCCAGCTACTACTTAGGTGAGAAAAAAAGTGTGCACATCCCAGGAAATGAAGAGGCAGAAACCTGAGTCCAGGTATCCTAGATGGAACTTGTTAATTCATTATAATTTTATATTTCAAAACCAAAGATGAGTCATACATCCTCCAGTTGCTGAACTCCATTCCCAGCTTTGGCCTCAGCCAAGTCTTAGTGTTTGTTTTCCATATTAAAAAAAAAAAAACAAAACAACAAAACCACAACAACCAAATAAAAACCACACCAAAACATTTGCTGCACCTGCTGTATGATGCACAGGCTGTATGACGTGTGTGATTATGTATGGATGGACTCTGCAAAAGGTAAGGGCATGACATTCCAACAGAGGCTGCTGTGACCAAGTTATCAGATGATGCAGGAGCAAAAACTATTCTAAGTAGCCTTACCAAAAAGTGCCAGCAAGGATTGCAGAGCAAAGTGCATGGTCCTCCTATTAGCTTGTTTCCCAGTCTTCAGAATCACCTCCTCTTGGCCAACTTCACAAAGGTCAAAACCTGCAGAGGAACATGAAGGAGAAAACTCATACCTCACAGAAAGATCCAATGTGTTAAACAAGAGTGACCTCATTTATAACACAAACAGAACACAGAGATACAAGATCCTGCAGTGTCCTGGAATGATGACTCCTCACCTACAACAGACAGTTTGTTGGTTTGTTCCTATCACTACTTAGCTCACCTTCTCCTGCAAGTGTCGGGAGGTTTATGGTGCTGGGCTGTATGCAGGAACACAAACAAGGCACTGACAAAATGCAGCAGTCAGTACTTTTTAAAGTTGTGAATTCTTTGGAATTGTTGGGGAACTATATACTAAACACACCTAGGGGACAGTGTCCCCCACGCCCCTATTGTTCATCATTAATCCAAAGTTTTTCGCATAAATATGGGTCCAAGGAAGAGCACAAACCTTGGAATTCTGTGAACAAGGTCTGGGCTGCAGGAGGCATGACTGTGTGTGAGAAACAGCGCCTGGTTTGGATGAGCTCCTAAAGCAGCCTGCTTGGGTGCTTCTTTTTGAAGCATTGCCTCTTCCCTGCAATGCCTTTTTACTAACTCTTAAGCAAGGTCCAAACCAGAATAAAATCTAGTTTGATATTTAGTTCTCATCTGCCTTTTCTGCAGGATGTAGACCCTGGCCCACACTATCACTCTGGCGTGCCCCATCCTTGCCCAGTGCACAGGCTTCCCTGCCAAAGGAACGATGGGTTCACTCCAGACAGAAGGCCAGAAGCAAACTTAAAACTCTGTATTATGAACAAGAGAGGAACGGGATCCTGAAATAACAACTGGAGTTACACCAGCTCGACAGCACTGAACTGCTGTCAGCCCTGAAATTCCTGTTCTGCTGGCTCAGGACCCCTCTGCCTCTGGCCGAGAGCACCCGACGCGCCGCAGGAGCGAGCTGGCGCAGCGGGGCCGAGCCCAAGAGGTGCAAAGACCAGACAGCATCCAGACAAATCTACAGCTGTGAGACTTGTCACTGCCTAAGTCACCACATGAGGCACTAGCAATAGTTTTAGAAAGACAATGGGAAGTAGTGTTTCCCTACCTAGAGCTGCCAGAAACTCATGACAGCCAGGTAGCCTCCAGAGTTGGACACTGATGGAAACCTGGATTGGTGCAGAGGAGAAATCTTGTTCTTTCTCACCTGCCTGAAGTTGAACCAGGACTTGATGCAGCTGAAGAAAACAGTACAGACATTAGTCATTCCTTACAAACCACATCACTGCTTTCCCAACAGTCACAGCTATGGAAACACGCTGCAAACTTCCCTTTTCCTGTGCACCCACATATACAACTGCTGCTCCTGAGCACAACAGTGACATGAAAAGGTCTGGGCACAGGGACAGTCCAGGGGCAGCAACAATGGAAAAAGCAAAGGCAGGGACAGAACAGAGGTGAGGGCTGGGGGGTGGCCAGTGGAAACCGAGCAAGAAGGAAGCACAGCAGGAAAATCTGTGAAGTGAAAGAAAAGGAAAGAGATACTTTGAGGCTGCTCACAGAAACACCCTAAAGCCCTTTCTGTGACCGAGCCGTACTCCCTATGCAAAACCCAAGAAAGCCATTCTCAGCATTTAGCTGGGCAGAACAAGCCATATGACACCATGGAAGACTTTCCTAATACTTCCACGGCATCCAGAAGAAAAGTTTCTCAACCAGGAAAGAAGTTTCTCAACTGTGCCCAAGGGACAGGAGTAGCAAACTAGAGAAAAAATGTGTTTATGAAGATCTGACACAAATCAAGGTGCCAGGATCCCATATAATTCCAAAACACAGCCAGTGCAGAAAGGATGGAAAGCTATTAATAAGGGACCAGCCAACGTCAGGACCACCCATCTCTTAGAACCCACAAAAGCTCGGAGTCTTTTTTCCACAGTAGCACTAAGGATCAAATTCCAGGCCTGGAAGTGGGTTGGAGACACTAGGCAGCACAGGGAACAGGTCTGCAGTGACCAAGGCATTTTATCCTGCACAGCAGTGTCATTCCCCAGTGCATGTAATACTCACCATTCCCACCATATTTTTAACAGCCTTCGGACAGCAGATAACAAGAAAGGAAAGGAGAGAAGAAAAGAAAGAACACAGGTTATTCTGTGCTACCAAATGCCTGTGATGGGGAACCCTGCAGTGACACACCCACATGCAAACCAGCATCCTGACTGCAAGATGCTCTATCTGGAGAAAGAAGGGAGCAGTGGAAATGGCTTGAGCTGTGAGTCAGGAGTCCAGCAGCTGGAATCTGGGAGTGCCCAGCTCATGACAATCAACTCAGACACTTTGCAGGCAGATCCTCAGGCCAACCCACATTCTGGCAGAAGGCTGAAAATAAAACAAGCCCTTCTCTCGGTCTTCTCTGGGGTACGTTATTGGCACTCAGTGCATTCATCAGTCCATAACTGCTCCTTGCACATGCAACAGAACTTGAAGTTCTCTCTTTTGTGGTTCCTACCTTCTGTTTTGCACTAAAAATTGCATTTTTATTTGTTATCAAAAGCTCAGGTTCTGTCCCTTGCTGCTTCACGAGTGCCAAGAGCATCTGCTCCCTTATGACGCCTTATCACCCATACAGGAAAGAGAGTATGCAGCACCCACTGACTGAGCTGTCAGTCATCAGGCTCCAGTTTTGAGCAGCCTTCTCTCCTCTGGGACAGGCAGAGCCTTAGCTGCTCACCTACTGAACTGCTGAGTGAAGGAGGGGGAAAAAGCGAGTAACCCCAGAGGAAGACTGAGCTGAAAAACCCTAACTTGTAAAACTGGATAAACTCTCGTGCAAAAGGAAATGCTGCCTGGGCTTTGGGCTATAACATCTGCAGAAACAGTGCACTACGCCTGCCAGTATCTTCACTGCATGTGGCAGCTGAGGAAACAGTGAGTGCATCTTTTGTCAGCTGTGTACAGCCATGCAAATGTTCTTCTCTGGGTGACTTCACTGTCTGAGGCAAGAAGACAGTCGTGACGTAACCTCACAGAGACTCTAACACGTTCTGATCTCTGCCAGTGCTGTCTTCTACTCATCACATTCCTTCGACTCTGGGCCTCCCTCTGGTGGCAATGAGGAAAAAAATAACCCTGCTATTCAACCACAGAAGTCTCGGATCCTGACAAAAGAGCCAAGGCAAGAAAGCAAAATGCTGTAAAGGACAAGCCATTAGAAATATCTCATGTGCTACTATAGGCCAGAAGAAGAAACTCCTTCCTTGAAGCAGACTCAGCCTAACGGACTGACAAAGCAGGCTGCTCAGTGGCAACAGCAAAGCTGTGGCTCTGGTTTTGCATTTTGTGCAGAGAGATTTGACAGAATGAAGAGAAGCCCTCTGAAGCTAGGCAGAGCTAATCCCAGCTACCCACCTCAGTGCTTCCCTGGAATAGTTCTGCATGGGGAAAGGAAGGGGAGGAGAAAGTGAGCTGTCAGCCCATTCATCATGTGCAGTGTGTTCATATACAAAATCAGGAAAATGGTCAAGATAAACCTCATTAAAGGAGCAATCAGGACAGTAAGAAACATGTAACGGAAAGCCATCCAGGCTGGTGGTACATCACAGAGAAAGGTTAGGTTAGGCCAGGCATACTAGAAAGACTGGGGAGAGGGAGGAATGTGGAGGAGATTGGAGGGAGCAGGGAGGAGTGCCATAGTCACAGGTGGCCTTTCTCTCAAAGACCACGAGGCCTTCCAGCAGAGCTATAAGCAGGGACACCAGAAGAAGCAGAGGCTCAGCAAGGCTTCTGACAGACCTGGCACTGGCCAAAGTTAGCTATACCTTTGCACTTCTGTAATTACAGTGGACAAAGACCAGCCACAATGGCCAAATACCAGCCAGTGCTTCTGCCACTCACTTGCTGGATTTTGCTTCCCCCTCACTGCAGTAGGAAGTGTTTTCACTTCTGTCGCTGACCAGGGAGCCCAAAATCCATGAGGCCAGTAATGTACTTGTGTTTTTCTCTTCCAGACACACACTTTCATTCACACAAACAGGCAAGTTTTGAGTTTCAACCCTGAAGTCTCCTAGCAAGCTCTGGGTTGATAAACCAGGACATACATAAACCATTCTGTACATTTCTGGATTTACTGACCTGGGAAGAACCATTTGGAAACTGGCACTGGAGGAAAATCTCCCAACTCACCCTGTTGATAAGCTGCTCTCCTGTTTCTGAAGCTGTGATAAGTTTACAAAGTGCCTGAAGTGCAGGGTTTGGCAAACCTGAAAAAGTCAGCAGAAACAGGGACTGTTCAGTATCTGCTTCTCAACTGCTAAAAGTGCAACAGCCTGAACAGAACACAAACTTGGCTAAAACCTAAAACTTCTCCCCCACAGTACTGAGCAGCTGTGGAAACAACAGCAATTTCCAGAAAGCAAAAGGTTTTCCCACTTTCTATCTGGTTATACATTTTCTGACTGAGAGCTGGAAGAAGGAACAGTCACACTGTGCTTCTTAGAAACTGGACCCAGTAGTACACGATGCCCATCTATGACAAAACTTTCAGTAAACGTTTACTTCCAGAACTTCTGCCCTGCTAAACACTCGTATTTCATTGCCGTAAGATGTCCCTGCTTTACAGGCTTGCCCCAAAGGCAGGCAGGGAAAGGCTGATGCCTGCTCCTTACCCAGGAGGGACTGGATGGTGGTGCTGCACTGCTGCAGCCGGTCGCCGGGGTCAGCGGTGGGGAAGAACACTGCTGCTGGCAGCCCGCTGGCCGGGGGGTCCAGGCGGAACCCCACGGCCGTGAGCAGCGCCTGCCAGCCGGGGGTGCCGCCCACTTTATTCTCCACACTCTGCTGGGAGGTGTACATGGAGTTGTGCTGCCCGTTCTGGATTCGCTGCAACGATTTCTCCACCTTTGGGGAAAGTACAGCATAAGCTTATTTTGTAAGAGGTTTTTACTAACTGCTTCTTTTTATACAGTGAAGAGGCAGGAAGGGCAGGCTGAGAGACAGCAAACCCCGTGCTGAACCTGGCCCATTTTACACAGAAGGATTTTAGCAGAGGCTCCAGTCACTCGGCACTCACAGCTGTAAAATTGCTGTGATGAGTGTCAGTGCTCTCCAGGATGCTGGGGAAAGCAATGCCACAGGAAACTAAGTACCAGTTTGATTGTGATAGTTTCCTGTAAGCCTGACAGCTACATTTCTTCCCAAAAGATGACTCATGTTCAGGCTCCAGTCTCTTGTCTACACTGCTTATTACCAGGCAAGAATCTGCCGCTATATGGTAAACAGTAAAGAGAGATGTGTATCCACAAACCCCAGCAACTGGGATGACTACCAATGTTCACAGGTTTCCATCATCCTATGGATACTCCACATTCCTTTTGGACCACTGAAGACACATTGGAAGGAACAGTATTAAAAGTCATGAGAGCTTACTCTAGCCATCTGGCAGTTTGGCTTCAGTCCTGCTGCTCCCCACAGAAGGCTACTGGCACATCTGGGGACCGAAGTGCCTCTCACAGGTATGCAAAGAGACAGCAGTCACTGTTCTCTACATCTCCATGACTGCAATGTTTATAGCTATTTTTTTGTAGAAACAATTAACCCAAACAATTATTGCATTTTTAAAGCAGAGACCAAATTGAACAGCTAATGCAAACCAGATGGATCCCAGGAGGATTTTGTCCCAGTATCATGTCAGACTTCACTGTTTGCCTTTCTTTGCCCTGGACGCTTCATCAGGTGTGCCAGTCTTCTCCCACTGACCTGGAGTTTTCAGGAGAGACTACTTATGGTGAGGGGAAGGGCTGAAGGCATGCAAGGGAGAGCAGCTACACATCAGGGTGTCTCTCCCTGGCACGGGGCTGCAGTGCCCCTCCCACGCCTGCTGGACGCGGCAGCGTTTCCTTTCTCTTACCAGATGTAGCAGGACACGCAAAGCATCTCGTGCCCTTTCAGGGTGCTGCAGGATCTCAGTCAGGGCCTGTCCTACTAGTGAAGAAGGGCTGTTCAGCTTCATATCACTCCCAATAAGCATAAAGCCTGTAGGATTCAGAATAAGAGACTCAATCTCCTTTTGTTATAGAAAGGGCCCAAAACAGAAGCAGATACTCTCTGTCCTCTCAGACTAATGGAATAATGGTTTACTGAGCCCTGCAGAGTGTTATTTTTTTTCCCAGAGTAGCTGCCCACTTCCTGAATGGTCCCATGGACTGAACTTTCAGAAAGCTTCTAGATGCTTCTTACTGTGCTCCTCTACCAAATCAAGAGTTTTCCTGTTCAAGCAGGCGGAAAAACGCTGTACTGCAGCTGAGCTTGCCCTAGCATGCTCCCTGTGGCCCCTGCAGCAGTAGATATCAACAGATACTCAACCGTACTCGCAGACACAGAACTCTGAAAGCTCTCCCTCTCTCAGTCATGCACCACCTAAACACTAGTTGTCCAAATGTCAGCACAAGGAGCTCTGCTAGCCCCTTCTCCCCACTACCTGCTAGCACTTCTTGCCTAACTCAACCTGGCATAAGAATGCTCTGTAGAAAACCCATCTTGTTTGTCAAAAAGCAGATCCTTCCTACCTGCCCAGTTGGACGGATGGGAGAACTGCTTGCTGCTCTGCACAGTTTTCATTGCTTCTCCAAGGGCTGCACTGGCTTTCGTCCCATTTAAGAGGGAGGAATAGAAGGCATGCACAAACATTTTGGAAGCAGCCACAGGAACAGGCCAGAGTGACACTAGGACACACTGTGCCCCAGCAGCCAGGAATGCTCTTGTCAAGCCAATGACTCCATCAGCAGTGACTTTGCTGTTGGATTCCTGGTAAGAGCCAAGAACCACTAATTTGACAGGAAGCCGCAGATCCAGGACATCAGCTGCTGTAAGCAGAAACTCCTGAAGAGGAGGGCAGTCTGAGATGCTCTCCGCATCACTGGCATCATCCTGCATCCGAAGGGATTCTGGGATTGTGTAGGGGTTCCCAAAAGAACTCTTGCTGCTGGCTGGATTGCTGTCAGAGTTGGGTGTCAGAACCAAAGCAGCCAGTTTCCAGGAGACATGGGTTGCAAAATGGACACATTCTGCCTGAGTGAGGGCACTCATGACCCTCTCTTTTGTTGCTGCACTGCCAACTAAGGGCTGGCAGCCAAGTAACTCAGATACCATATATGCTTCCTCTTCTGCAGAGGGCATAGGTCCCCATAGCCACCTGTCCATAACTGCTGAAGGGAGCTTGGGATTTCCTATGACAGCTGCCATTGAGGTAGAACTGGAGTAAGCAGGAGTATTCTTTCTCACATGGGACTACAGAGAGAAAGAGAAAGAGAAAATGGGGTTCAAAGATCTGTTTGTTATGGTGCTGGTATTAAAATATCCTTTGTCTGCATCTCTAAACAGAAGTCTGGTTGTCATAATTACAAAAAAAAAAACACCTTTGTGTTTCTTTAGTTTCTTCCATTTATGTATTCCAAGGAACATCTCTACTTGAATCCAGTCAGGATTTCTATCCCCATATCTTGGGTGAACACATAGATAAGAACAGAAAGCAACAGACTGAGTCCAGGTCCTTTTGAGGGCTAAAAGAATAAGAAAGATCCCCGCTTTCCACCTTACGGGAAGTCTACTTGCAATCACTCACTAATTTCTTTCTCACACCTGTATTTCAAGGATCAGCATCACCACTGCCAGTAGCATGGTGTCATGATGTCATAGCTTCAGTGTCATGAGACATTAGTGACCTTCTCCACACACAAGGCTGAATGTGATAGGACAGTCAGCTTGCCAAGGAAGCTCATTATAGATCAAACATCTACATTTCTGCAGTCTGCCATGTAGTTCCACACCCCAGACATGCCATCCTCTAGAGGAGGATATCCAAATGATCCATGCCCCTCGTCCTTCCTGGTACGCCTGGAGCTGTGCTTTTGTGCTGCAGGAACTACATCAGAAGCCACTTCACGGCCGTGGTGCTCAAAGTGCTCACCAGGACTGGGAGTGCCTTGGGAGGGGGCTCCATTTGTGGTTTCTACTCTTGTGTCCGGTGTAGCAGGACAGAGCTGAGGCTTTGCTAGCGTGTACAGAAACCTGCACCGCGCAGGAGAGTTCTAGGAGAGAGAGGTTTTATAAGGCAATGTCTGACCTTGGAGCTGGGATTCAGTGACTGGATGGATGGCACAGCAATCAGGCTGAAGCGCTCATAGAGGTACTCGTTGGAGGAACAGCCCTTCAGGAGAGCAAAAGGAATGAGGTACAGTTCTCCCTCCAGAACCAGTATCAGCTGGCGGTGACGGCCAACAGGCCCACTGGAATGCATCAAACCCTGAAAAGAAAAGAGAATCAGTTGGGCCCTTTCACTCCATGAGTGCCCCAGCCTGCACTTTGCAAGCACCAGGCTCTAGTCTGACCCAACATTAGGTTTGGAAATACCCACATCAGAATTACGCTCAGTGTGAACACAGACACAGTAACTGGTGAATGCACACGGGCACTGTGAGAGAAGAATCTTCTTTCTTTCACTGCCAACAGTGAACTACTACTACAAAATGTCTAATGGAAACACAGACCTTTGAAACAAGAGGGATGTAGAAGCAGTGTCAAAAAATCCCAAAGCGTGGATGTGTCAGATAATCAAACAGTGCAAAAGAAAGGGGATTTGTGTGTTTTGAGGGTGAACGTTACTATTTGTGTGAAGTTTTATACACAGAGCTCTGCCAAATGCAGGCTGGAGCAGACTTGCAGACTGCGCTGTGAGGCACCAACAGCCGGCGACTGGCTTGAGAGCCCCTGACCCCATCTCACTAGCAGTTCAGGAATAACAGGAATTCACAATCAGTCTCCAACTTTAGTGATCAGGCAGCAGCAAAGATGAATGAACATTACTGAAGAAACAGAAAAACCAGTTCAGTTGCCTCTGCCAAGGGAGTCTGAGCAAGCCAGAAATACCAAAAAGACAGGTCAGCTATGAGGGAGAATGTCAAACCGTAGAAATCTGAAGAGAGACAGTGAGGTGCTTTTAAAGGCATCTTGCCATTTGAAATGGGAACAAAACTGCTGAAGGATAAGAAAATTCTCATTTTACAGGAGTTAAAATAATCTCTGCCCCCTCGCTGTTCCCCCTGCCCTGGGGCAGGGCAGTGCTGGCACCCAGCAGCCCCGGGGAGCCCCTGGCAGCCAGCAGCCGCCCTGCAGCCGAGCTCGCCCACCCCCCTCAGCTGAGCCTCCCTCTGCAGAGCCCGAGCTGACGAGCAGCACTTCCCAACAGGGCAGCTGTTGTTTTCCAGAAACGTTTTGGGGTTTGTGGGGGCTTTTTGTGTGTGTGTTTTGTTTGTTTTTCTTTTTTTAATACATATTGTATTTTACTTACTGCTCCAGAACCGTTAGCTGTCAGCAAGGCAATCACAGAGACACGTGCCTAGCAGAATTTTTAATTTCTATGTAAAACCCACTAGACTTTAGGTTTTTTTCCCCCTCAGAATGGCTGTATGTGCATTATAGAAACAGAAATAGAACTATGAGGATCTTTGCATTTAATACATCTCCACAAATTCATTTTAGGGTGAGTTCTAACAAAAATTAATCTGTTTGGTTGAGAAAAAGCAGCAAAGCATGAGCTGTCAGGCCCAGGAACGTGCACTCTGCTTCACAGCAGCTACAGCAGCCACTTGTTACGAAGGCAGAGAAGTCTCTGACCCAGCACTCAGGAGGAGCATGGCTGTGCAGGGCTAGGACAGCTGACAGCTGCTGCCTTGGCTGGGTCCCTCCCGTGCAGCTAGTGCTGGTATAGTTGGAAGTTTCCGCTACAATGGGACTGTCAAACCATACACGAGACCTGAACTGCATCTTCTTAGTACGTGACCAGTAAGGACACTGTATCTGCTAATTCTGCACTCTCTGAAAGCCCTCTCAAGGCCTACAGTACCTTACTGGAGCCAACTTTGGGCCTCAGACACCCACAATTGCCAAGCAGTGCCTAACCAGGAAGGAGAAGAGGCTCCCGGGTTCCCCATGAGGAATTCCTCATGACCTGTCTTATCTCTTTATAGTAGATATGGGCAGGTGTTAAACTCCCAGGTGAAGCTTTCTCAAGAACATCATAGGTGACAGAGAAAACCCATCAGCAGGGCCGACCTCCTTGCCCTGCAAAGAAGATGCACGTGTCACCTCTAGAGCAGAAGCCCCCACTCTTCAAGGCTCACAGCATGACTGTGGCATGGCAGGCTGGGAGAGCTAAGAAAGGCTTGAGCTCACAAAGGCTATGCCTCCACAACAAAGGTGACTTCTGCAGACAAGATTAAAGTGTCCAAACAGCCTCTAAATAACCCAAAGTAGAGCTGGTTTCCCCTCTCACGTGACAGGATCACAACATTTCGGTCTGTTTGTTCAGCTGGGTACCAACTGAGAAAAGAGTAATTCCTGACTGAGTGACTTTACCTCTTCTAGCTAGAGGTGCTACAGAGACAGGACTTTTTAAATTATCCTGCCATTGCTCCCTGAGGCTGGAACCAGGGGCTGTCCTGCACTCCTGGGACACTGCGCCCGTCTCACCACCTGGGAGGAGCCAGTGAAAATCAGTGCCCCTGGGACACAACCTGCAAGCTGCCTATTTTCACTTTGACAAAGGACTTTGGTAAGTCAATCTCTACGTTTTTTCCACCCCAAAGACCTACTCCTTCCATAGGTCCTATCAGTAACTCGTAGAGTGCACGGAGTGGGGGTTTGGTGAAGGAAGTCTGCCTCCTTGGAAGAGATGATGATCCGTCCTTCACAGGAGACATGGTACTGCTGAACAGACTGGTCATGCTCTGACAGCTCCTGTGGGCAAAAGGCAAGGGAGAGGTTAGTTGCAAAGATCTCAGGTCCACTACAGTTGCCCTGACTTCATGATACTGCTGGTGAGCCAGTCCCTGTCCATCCAGAGGACTCCATTTGGCAAGATGCCTCACAGCAGGCACCTCAGTGGCACTGAGGACAAGGTCAAAGAGTTGCAGGCCGTGTATTACATTGCTGTGGAGTTTCTCTACAAACTCAGTTGTCTGAAGTGCTGTTCTCAGCTTTGACTGCATCTGCACATCTAGTGGCTGTGTGCAGCTAAGGGGAGACCTGTAACAGTTACCTACAATCACAGGAAGATTTGCACCAACTAATCTAGCATGGTACCAAAAGGAAATATGACAACAGGTGAACAATGAGGCATGAAGATTATGCCTGAACTCGCTGCCACTCCTCTGAACAGCTCCATGGAGTCAGATGCAAGTGTTGACCTGGAGCCCATTTCTGACATCCCCACAGACAGAGCTCTGCGTCTGCTCTCCTGGCATCAACAGTCACCAAACACCCCCAACTCTGAGACTCAGATGGCATGGGTACAAGTTAGTGCCCTGCTGAGGAAATGATGCTGCCCCATTCAGGTCTCACTAATCCAGCAGTTGTGGTCCCCAGGAAGGTTATTCTTGGCTCGGTGCCATGAACAACCATTTTATGTGAGAAGGATAACCTGCCAGAGAGTTTTAACAGGTGGGCCTTAAAGAAAAGGCAGGGAGGGAAATAAGACATTGAACAGTAATGCTACTGCAAGATCTGAAGTGTAACTGGAGTAACCAGTGGGGCCGTCCATAATGGACACAACAATCTCAAGCATAAGAGGCCACCCATGAGGCTACACATGCCCATTGTCCTCAGAGTGCCAAACACATTCAGTGGAGGGTTCCATGGCATCCCAGTCCAGATCATACTCTGCTGCTGCTGTGCAGAGCAAACCTCCCTCCATTCTTGGTCTCTGTGAAGCACAGCACTGGCCTGCCTCTCAGACACCTTCCAATGCTATGTGCCTTTGCCAGTTTACACCACAGGAAAGAAACTGTATCTTCATGATTCATGACCAAACTCACACACTTTATTTATCAGGGCACTAGTCTGCAATGTTCTTCTTTTAAGAACCATTACTCTGAAGAAATGCCTTGTCCCCTATTCCTTATTTTTACCTCTTGCCTGGAGCAATTCTTATCTATCAACACGGAAAAGAAATAAAAGCAGAAAGTATTTGCCACATGCGGGAAAATAAAAAGAAAACTCAGCATCCAACAGGTATGTTAGTGTGATATATTGACAGTTTGTTATTAATATTTGTTATAGGCATATATATTCATAGGTATGCACATCCATCTGCCTCCTCCTCAGCCCTGCCTCCTCCCTCGCCTTCCCGCGCAGCAGCAGGGCAGGCAGGCACACTTTGTTCCTGTACTTTACGGAGCACAGATTTTAAAATCAGATCAGGAAATAAAAGCTGTGCTTTCCCAATCTCACACATTTCTAATGCTCTGAACCCTGTGCTCAAAGCACACCCCTCCAGTATATCCTGCCTGACCAGTTGAGAAGGGCAGGGACACCCCACTGCCTGCTCAGGAGCTGGTGCAGCCCTGACCTCCTAAGCAGCAGCTCTGTGCCAGCAGGCGGCACTCGCCAGCCTCACCTCCTGTGTTAACTGATTTTAACACACTCATTTACTGCATGGAATAGGGGCTTGATTACTCTAATTAGCAGAGCCTCCTTCATCTTAGTTTCACAGCCAAGCAGCTCTGGATTTATTCCTTCACTACTCGGATTGCTTTTTATTAGAACAAAACCAAGGGAGTATCATAAATCTTTCACATCTCTTGCCTGTGCGTTTGTGTACACAAAGAAGAACGAGAAAATCCATAGGGGGAGGACAGACTGAGATCTTTTGTAGCAGGCAGAGCACACCTGGAGCCCCGGCCAGCCCATCCCCTTCCCTCCCAAGCCAGTGCAAACAAATGGCTCTCCAGGTGGCTTGTCAGGCACCTGAGTCCAGTGATTTCAATGTGACAAGAGGGAGACTTTTGAATCCTTTGGCCAAATGCCCCTTCCAGGGTGCTAGTGCTGGCCTCCGGGACGCTGCACTGATCATTTCTACCTTGCTTTTGCAGTGTAGAGCGTTCCTCTGATTTTTGCAACAGTAAATCTCTCATTTGGAAGCGTCTGCACAGCCTACACAATGCTGCTTATTTATAACCCTTTGTATAAGGCAGGCTGTCCTGCAGCAAGCAGAGGAAACAGCACAGACCAGCGTTAACTCTGCTTCCGCCCTTTGTCTCGGAGAGACAAGAACAAAGCAACGATCCCAGGCAGCCTCAGAGGAAGGGGTAAAAGCCCATGCCAGGCAAGCCCTGAGCCCAGACTGATTTCACCCACACCAGACTGCTGAGGATGAATGTGGCAGGGCCCGGGCAGGAGGGAGGGATTCATACTGGAGTCAGCAGAGAGCTGCTCTTGCCTGGACATTCGTTAGGTCTCTGGACCAAGCGCAGGCACTCAGGAGGGCTGGGAGCCAGACCTGCTGCTGCAGTGGTCTGACAGCCTCAGGCTGACACACCAGGCCTCTGGTCAGACTCTTCCTAGAGATGCAGCCCCAAATCCATTCAGGGCCTTGACACACAAAATACAAAGCTTTGGATCTCTGGGAAGTCCCAGAAAACACTTAGATATGAGCTCCCTCTAGATGCTTTCAAGGATCCACAATTATCTCCAGAACCCACCAGTGGTTGTGAAAAACCCACAGACCACCCAGCATTCTCTGCCTGTGTGGCCTGTACTTGGGCAGCTACAGTGCTGCACCCTGCATGGAGAACCAGACAGATCAGAGACTCTCCAGCCACTGCTTTCTTGTCTGCCTTCCAAGGACCTCACTTTGTCCTGGGCCAGCTAGCACCCCTGGTAGCCCTCCTGGCTCCCCCTCAGTTGTGAGCAGCTGGTCCTCGCTGCGTGACAACGTCAGCGCAGCCAGCAGGGCCGAAATCAGCACACAGGCAGGGTCCCACACCAAGAGGAGAGGGGAGATGTGCTCAGACATCACAAGATGGCCAGCAAGATGAAACCCTCAGCAAAACGAGATGAAACAGTGTCTTGGTGATAGCCCTGTTTTTAGTGCTGCTGAGGCTTCATGTCAGTTTTAGCCACCTTCTGTCAGATTCCCCTGGCTGGACCCATACAGACTTCACCTTACTGTGACACTGAGCTCGCCCCGGGAACGTCCAGCCACTCTTGCAGGACTGGCCATGGGCCCTGAGCACACTGACTCTGCTGGAAAAATGAAGCTTTCTGCAATCATAAGGGGAGCTGGGAGATAGCAATGGACTTGGCAGAAGTGAATTTGCATGTCAAGATATATTGCTCCTTATCTCCCAGTTCGCCTTTTACAAATCCTCACCACGTCACTGAAGAAATTGCCCTCAAGGAATTGTAATTTACCCTTTGAGCAGTGTCAGGGCTGACCCTCGTGGCTTTTGCAGACACTTGGAAGGAGGACAAACTTACTGCCATCATGGTGGAGAGGCCAAACAACAGGCACAGGAACTATACTCAGGTAGAGACAATGATCAGGTCCCTTGCTGGAGCAGATGACTAGCATGGAGGAAATCAGATTTTAATCTGCAAACCCAAGAAAAGTTTAAGAGCCCCAAGGAGCAGTGAAAACAGAAGCTGCAAAGGACAGGAGCACCTGGGACTATCCTGGGGGCTGTATCCCCGACCACCACAGCTTAAAGAGCTATTGCCCAGTACTGAGACCACTGCAGCATGCCTTCAGTGCTCCTTTCTCCTCCAAAGTCCATTTCTTCTCTGAACTTCTTCCTCAACTGCCAAACCCCATCATTTCTTCTTCTCTAAGCAGAACTGCCAAATACCATACTATTCTCTCCTTAAAAGCCAAGTTACCTGATGACAGCAACCAGACGGCACCTGTACCAAGGGCTTCCTTTCAGTCACCTGCTTGTCACTAGACATGGATGGCTCCAAACTCCCAGCATCTCCAGGGCCTCATCTTCCAATGTGGGACCCTAACAGCACGTGCAGTTCCTGTGTGTGAGGGAACTTGCACTGGCCCCAGGCCATGCACACTCCCATGAGGATCTCAAACATTCAGGCACAAGGTGTGAACATGCATTCAGGCCCCACGTGAGGAGTGCAGGACCTGCCTCGGCAGTGGGGAAGACAAGTTCTTATTCTCAGCTCCAAGCAGGCACTGCTTTGTCCCTTGCAGTGCAGAAGCCAAAGGAAGCAGATATCATACCCTCAATCACTGCTCGTGTGCTACGATTTTACCATGCTCTGAAGCACTGCAGCAGCAACAATCCACTCAGCACTGACCTACAGCTACCAGAACCCACTCCAGCACTAGCTGGCAGGAAAGCCACTGCTCAGAGGGGGTGAGCTGGAGTCTGGAGCTGCAAGATCACCGCTTGTGCACTAGCTAATCATCCAGTTCTGTTGCTTAACCAAAGTCTAAGAGCTCACAATTCTTTCTTAGAGCTCTAGGCCAGTGCACAGAAATCCTGCCTGTTCCCATTTTATTTTGTAATCTGCTCTCTTCCATCTAGATTTTCATCTGCTTCCTTGCGTAAGATTGAGGGCTCTCGCCAGGACCTCTCCTTGCTGTGCCAGGCTCAATGTCACATGCCATGAGCCACACCACTCTCTACACAGCTTAATTATAAAGAACCACACAGTAGAGCAAGAGGCTGGCTAATGCTCTCTCCAGTTCCCATCTAGACTCTGGAGCCTCCAATCTGATCAGCTATGGGACTGAAGCAGACATGAAGTACAGGAGGTATTCAAAGGCCTGGGCAGGACCACAGCACCTACCCTGCATTCAGGGCTAAGCAACCCAGGTGCAAAACAGATGTGGCAGCATCAGCTCTGCCACTCCAGTCCCCTGGTACACCCCACCTGCAGGCAAGAGGTGGGCAGGCAGGTCACCCAGCAGTGTCTTCTCATGCTCTTCATCTCAAGTGCTCATGGAGAGGACATCAAAAGACATGGCTGCTTCTAGTGCTCCTCCAGATGCTCTTGTGAGGCTGCTTTTAATTAAGTGCACAAGCTGCCTCATCCCTGAGCTTCTCCTAAAAGCTGCAAACTAGTTACCTGAAAAGGTACCTTGGGTAAGCTCCTGGATGTGGGTTTAAGGTAATGCACTTGGCTCCTACAGAGAAGAAAGACATAGATGCTGCATGGTTGGCCTCTGCAGCGTTCCTGAGGATAAGTGTTCCCTGGAGCAGAATTGGATCATATTAATCAGAGGGGCATTCTCCTGTCCTTCTAAGCATGATGAACTAGCAAAACATCTCATCAGTGCTGGGCATCTACCTGTTTGATTTAAAACTAGCAAGTCCTTATAGTTCACCATCAATGCAGCAGCTTGAACAGATCAGCATGTGGATTCTGGAAACAAAACCAGGCCAGCTGCTGGTGCCAGCTGGCAGTTCCCAGTTTCATGGGGATGCTGTTACAGCTCACAAGCTCCAGTGACAGCTCACAACGCTGTAGGCTGATTGCATTTTCTTTCCAGCTGAGAAAAGCCCAGGGTCTCTTGTGCTCACAATCCATGCTGGAGCACAGATCTAGCCAGAAACCCCAGGTTGCATCATGCAGCCACTCTCCACGGGGCAATGGATATACTGGAAAAATTCTGTCTTCAATTTTTGTTTCAAGTGCTCACCACAGTTGGCACAGTAATGTGTAAGACTGAGACCTGAGCAAGTTGTAAGAGGCAGAAAATAAGCGAGGACTGTGCAGCTATCACAGAGTCCTGTAACTCTGGAAATGCAGCATATACCCAGCTAATTAGTATCAACAGAAACAAATATTTCTGTAGTAAGTGTGCAGCAGAGAGCTCAAAGCTCCACACCTCACAGACAGCAGGGACCAGCCAGAGCTCCCCTGTAACCATTCCCATAGCCAAAACCAGTGCTTGGCCAGAAGAGCAAATTGGAAATGGCTGCTCCTCAGGACAGAGTTATCAGCTCACAGCTGCTGACAAGCCTGTGCCAGCTTACTGCCTTAAGCTAGCAAATTCACCTAGAAACACAATGAAGAGGCTACCCCCTCCAGCTCCCAAACCAAGCTACTGAGCTCTTAAATGAAACACACAGACCCAACTAGATCTCTGCCTGTGCCTGGGGTCCTCCTGCCCACAAGAGCACAGTGATGCTTTCAGTCCCTGTCCTACTTCCTTCCTACCGAAAATTTCTGCTTCTAAAGAAAGAAGCAACAGGACCCTATGCCCTTCCAGGACTTGGCAGGGCTTCCTCGTGCCTCGAACCCAACACTTGAGTCTGTGAAATAAACCAAGCCCCAATAGGCCACCCCCCTGTGAAAGGCCACCAGGCACCCAAAGCTCCCAGGCTGGATGCACGTGCCACACACTAGGGCCACAGCAGATTCTCCATCCCATCAGGAGCAAGATACAGGGACAGAGATGAGGGATGTCTCGAGAAATTCCCACTGCACCACATGTACACAAAAGAAAAGGACAGGAGGGAAATGCCTACAGGCCCCTCTGCTCAGAAGAGGAGAGAGCTGCACAGTACTAGTGTACAGGACTTATTCCTAAGGGACATGCTTAACCTTCCCTGCACACCCACGCTGTGAGGAATGCACAGCTACTGCCCCTGTAACAGACAGCATCAGTTTGCTGCTCTGTGCCCCCCCACCGTGAGCAATGTATTGGCTGGACTCCAACCCTGCAGCTTAGAGAGAAGCCCATCCCCAGGAGGTCTGGTGCTGGCTGATGGCCCCAGCACAGGGGTATTCTCACCTATTCAGGAGGTTGTTCCTGCTGACCATCCTCAGGAAGCCAGTCGGATCAGTCATCGAGTTCAGCTTGTTATTCACCTCCTCAAACTGCTGGTCCATGATATCTCCAGCTTCACTCTCAGTCTCGCTACTGGCACAGGCTCTGCAGGGGGAACAGTGGGGTGAAGGAGCCACTGATGCAAGACAGAGCAACAGCTTTCTGCACAACACTCAGCTAGTTTGAGAGAAAGTGTTTTTCAGACACAACCTCAACCAAACGCTAAAGAGAAATTTTCCCTGGATTGCATCACATCCTCCTGTTAGCCGTGCAAGAGAGTAACAGCTCCATCACTTCCTCTTCTCCAGGGCATTCTCCAAGGTTTAAAGTGAGGTGAACTGATGGAAATACAGGACCCAAATTCCCATGCAGTCCAGCTATGGACTTCTGAAGCTGCAGCAAACCACAGAAAAGCTGAGGTCTGCAGGAAACACCGACTCAGCTCTTGCTTTGCCTGAGAACATATGTTAATGCATCCTTTTTGGATTTCCACAATAAGAACTTCAAGCTCTGTATGCCTCCCTCACTGGCAAAACACAAGGTAAAAAGG